GGCTGGTTTTACCAATACAAGTCCCAAGTTCTTAGGAAAAAGTCTCCTTTTTATCCCTGCAGGGCCATCATGACCCACGCCTCAGTGCCTGAGGTCACTGCTCTCAGATAATTCTTTTCTCACTCATCAGCTCAGCTCAAAAACTTGATTGACCTCAGATTTATTTTAATTAAGTTATAAATTTGCCTAAGAGCTTTTTCTTCTCTTGATGTTTTATTGAAAATGAAGTTAAATCCAACACCTGGTAAACAATAACTTTCTAAAGAGGTGCCTTTGTCTCTTGTAAGAAAAAAACATGTGCTGTGGGAATGACTGGAATAATTTTAATTAAAACACACTTTTCCTTTCCTTGCTTGTGTTATCCATGTGCACGTGCTGCTTGTGTTCAAAATCAGGGGATGGAGTGACCCTGGAGCTGTTGGGGTTCTCCTGTGGGAAGGCAGGAGGGGGATGGAGCTGAGGAGGGGATGGAGCTGAGGCAGGACAATTCTCTATTGGCCACACCCAGAACAACCATCACTGCACAGAGGGACTGAACCCTGCCAAAACCACAGTGAAGGTGTTCCCAGCCCGCCCTCCTCATTCCACAGCATCCCAAATTTATGGACCTCAAAGCCCACCCAGTGCCACCCCCTACACCTCGGGAGCAGCTCTCACATGAGGAAGGGCTAGCTATCCCAGCACGTTCATGACTGTTAAGCAACGATCTGGGGTTCCTGAATTCCTGTAATCACTGTTAATCACAGTAGGGTAATTAACACCCCTGAAGGTGCTCGGGGCGGGATTCGAACCCGCCGTCTCGGCATCCGCTCGGTCCGGCCCGCTTAGTGGCGTCACGCGCCGCGTGCGCCCGCCTCGGCCAATCAGAGGCCGCCGGCAGATTCGAACGGCGGGGCGGCGGCGGCCGTTGCGCGCGCGGCGGGGCCGGCAGGGGGCGCTGCGCTGCCCGGCTGAGGGGCCGCCATGGCCGGGCCGGGACCGGGACCGGGACAGGGACAGGGACAGGGACAGGGACAGGGACCGGGACCAGGGCCGGGACCGGGGCCGTACCGCGCCACGAGGCTGGTGAGCACCGAGCGGGGCTGCGCCGGGCCGGGCGGGAGCCGGGGGAGCGGCTGCTGGGGGCGGGGGAGCGCCGCGGGACGGGAGGCGGCTCTGCCCCGCGGGGCTGCCGTCACGGCTGAGGGGCGCTCGGGGACGCGCCGGGTGCCCCGGGCCCGCCCTGCCCGCTGTGGTGGCCGTGCTCGGGGACACCTCCTGCCCCATGTCGCGACACTGGCGCCCCAGGGACACTCCATGTCGCTACATTAGGCGCCCCAGGGACACCCCATGTCGCGACATTAGGCGCCCTGGCACCCCCCTGCCCTCCGGCCACGGGGACACCGTGAGACCTCCCCCGCCCTGCCCTCCGCCACACAATGCTGTGAATAAATGCCAGCCACTTGGTTTTGAAATTTTGAAAGTTTAATGGTAATGAAATGGTTGTAAAAATAGTAATATAATTAGAGTAATAAAATCTGAACATCTGAGGTTAGGACGATATGAGACAATAAAAACAAAGCGATACGGACGTCTGGGTACCTTTTTCTGGGCAACACAAGCCCGAAAAAGGACCCCCGTTAACACAGGATTAACCCTTAAAAACAATCGCCTGTTGCATATTCATACATCTCATACATGATGCATAAATTCCATTCAAACACAGGATTCTGTCTGGTCACTGTCACCTTCTTCCTCTCAATCCTCATGCCGTCTTCCAGTCTGAGCGAGGTGGGAAGAAATTAGTTGTCTGCTGATAAGGGAGCAACAAATTCCCTTTCTCTGAAAGATTCAGGTGTCCTGTGGCTCCTATATGGTGCGAGTCCTTTCTTTAACAAATATCTTGCATAGCATAGTTTTTATTTTAATATTATGTTATAACCTAAAACTATACTTAATACCTTACTTAAGAAAATTAACACAGCATAACTTTCTAGCGTAATACAACATTCATTTTAATACTTGCGAGAAGCCAGTCATAAAATACACATTTTTCACATGCTGATAAGGGAGCAATAAATTCCCTTTCTCTGGAAGATTTAGGTGTCCTGTGACTCCTGTCGGGTGCGAGTCCTTTCTTAAATGTCTTGCACAGCATAGTTTCTATTTAACATTCTGTTATAAACTAAAATTATATTTAATACCTTACTTGAGAAAATTAACACAGCATAACTTTCTAACATACACATACAATATTCATTTTAATGCTTGCGAAAAGCCAATCATAAAATACACATTTTTCACATGCTGATAAGGGAGCAATAAATTCCCTTTCTCTGAAAGATTCAGGTGTCCTGTGGCTCCTATCTGGTGCGAGTCCTTTCTTAAACAAATATCTTGCATAGCATAGTTTTTATTTTAACATTATGTTATAACCTAAAACTATACTTAATAGAATTAATACGGCATAACTTTCTAACATACACATACACCATTCACGTTAATACTTGCGAGAAGTCACTCATAAAACACGCGTTTTTGACAACGTTGGCGCGACCTGCGGGGTGTGGCGGCCCGCGGTGGCGGTGCCGCCCCGGTGCAGGGGTGCCGGCGGTGCCGGCGGTGCCGCCCCGCCGCAGCCGGTGCCGCTCGGTGTCCCCGCAGTGGAACGAGGTGACGCGCCGCTTCCGCGCCGGCATGCCCCTGCGGCGGCACCGCCTGCGCCTCCGCTCGCACGGCAGCTGCTTCACGGCCGCCGAGGCCGCCGACTGGCTGCACCAGCTGCTCCGCGGCCACAGCAGCTTCGGGCCCGACGTCACCCGGCAGCAGACCGTGCAGCTCCTGCGGAAATTCCTCAAAAACCACGTCATCGAGGACATCAAGGGCCGCTGGGGAGCCGAGAACCTGGAGGACAACGGCGCCCTGTACAGGTACTGCGGTTAAAATCAGCCCGCGGTCTCTCTGGGGAGTTGTAGTTTAAAATGCTTAGATCTGCAAAATAGCGTGCTTTGGGTTAAACATCCAGGGTGAAGAGTTAATTATCAGCGTAGTTTTGCTGCTCTGAGTGTTTTGCTCTGCTCCTGTGCATGCCCGTGCTTTTGCCCATCCGAGGTTTTTGCTGGAACACAGTCTGCACTTTGGAGTGAAGCCAGGGTGTTTTGTAGGAGCTGCCTGCTGGGTTTGCTTCTCTTGGGCCTTTTACACAAAGCCTGAGTGGGAAACAGAGCCAAGCAGCTCTGAAATTAAAGGTATTAATGGCCCCCACTTCTCACGTTCTGGGCTCAGGCTGTGCCAACACCTCCAGCTCCACTTTGGCATCAAGAAAAACAGCCCAAAGCTAATTTATCATATGATAAATTAAAAAAAAAACAAACCAAACAACAACAACACCTTTTTTTAGTGAATGTAACAGAGTCACACTAGTACAGAGTCAGAGGTTTTGTTTTGTCAAGTCATTTATTTGATTACAGATCAGTTCTGAATGTTTTTAACATCTCCCCCATTCATTACAGATTTCCTCCAACCTCTCCAGTCAAACCTCTACCAAGCCCACCAAGGGAGAACTTGGAAAACTTCTCTGGAGACAAAGGAAAGCTTTTTAAACTGCCCAGCTCATCCAAAAGGGGTTTGAAGAAACAGGAGTTCCTGCAGTCTGTGGTAATAACTCCTGTTCCTCACAGCATTGCAGTTGGCTTGTATTGTCTTTTTTCTTTAAAATTTAGTGACACTGCTCTGTTGTGGCATCTTCCCTTAAGAAAGAATAGTTTAGACTTAAGGAATTGAGAAATATTAAAAAATAAATTTACATGACAGGGGTTTTTATTTTGTTTTGGGTTTTCTTTGTTTTGTCTCAGTGCAGAATTATCCCTGCTAAGGGATTTTAAAGTATGGGGCGGGTTGGAAGGTGAAGTCCTAGAAATGATCTGCACAACGTGGCCTTGTTGAAATTTAATTTCTCTTTGGGGTACAAATAAAAGGCACAGATCATTTAAGTGGTCATCTTTTTGGAGAAGATGGAATGCGTGTGGCCCTTGATTCAGCTGAGATTGGTGTGCATAAATTCTGAATTTAGGCTCCAGTCCTAAAGGAGGGTAATTCACACATTAATACAGCTGGATTTGAGGTGGTTTTACCTTTTAAATTGCTGGTTTTGGGTGGATCAGGGGTTTCTTCCATTTCTTTTTAGTTCTATGCTCCCATTTCAGTGCTGAGGCTGCAGGTTGCCCCCTAGTTCATATGGAATTTAATCTCCACAGAATTCTGTTCTTCTAATTCCAATTTTCTTGCCCTAGGAAGTTCATTTATCTTATGGTATAAACCTCTAATTTTCAGGAAAACTTAGCAAGACCAAAAGCTGATGTAACAGAAGAAAAGAAGGAAGGCACACTGCCAAGGAGGGAAATAAGCCAGGAATATGTGCAGGAAACCTGGAGAAATATCATCAGGATACAGTGAGTGAGGAATTACACACAGCCCCTTCTCTTCAGTGTGAAATAGCCCAAGCAAGCTTTCACCATTTGTTTTGAATTGTTACAGCTATGGTTTAAGTTGAATTTTCCCTGTTGTTTACACAGGTTTTCTAATCTGTTTATTAATTTTGGAATGTTGCATCTAAGGAATTTCTGATCAGATGCTGGTGCTGAAATGTATTTTAAACACCCCAGGTGCTCTTCCTTGCTGATTGTTGCTGTTTGTCCCAGGGAAAAGTGTCCCCAGTTGTCCTCCTGGAAGTGACAAGCTATCAAACAGCTCTTTAGCTCACCAGGAATTTTGGAATAGATATGGAAAGAACTTGTTTTCCTTCATCCCTTGCAATCTTTGCTCTCTTCCTCCCCCAGTTTGCAAACCATTTTGGGACTGCCCTCGTTGGAGGAGGTTCTGCAGCCAGCCCAGATCATCCCTGAGTTTGTCATGTACAACATGAGCAACACCAGCAGACACGGGGTGGTGATCCTGCAGGACAAAGCAGGTGACATTTATTTCCCTAGATTTGCTTGAAAATCTTTATTTATAAATTATAGTTCATCTGTTTCACAGTCTGGTGTTCACACACAGCTCAGGGACCTTAGATCCCCTCCCACCCCTGGCATGGCAGGGACACCCCCTATCCCAGGCTGCTCCAGCCTGGCCTTGGGCACTGCCAGGGATCCAGGGACAGCCACAGCTGGATGGAATTCCATCCCAGCCAAAAATCCTTCCCAATATCCCATCTAACCCTGCCCACCTTCAGCTTGAAATTATTCCCCTTTATCCTCTCAAAATGACATGTGGAGCAGTATTTAAAATCTGTTTTAAATTTAATCTTTTGTGCTTTAGGTGTTATTTAATACGTGTGAGCCATCATTAGTTGTTAATTATTTGGGCTCCTGTCGAAATGATGTTTTTATCTGTTTGGATTTCAGAGGACCTCCCTCACTGGGTGCTGTCAGCCATGAAGTGCTTGGCCTACTGTAAGTCACTAAAGAGCTTTCAAGTTCCAGAAGCCTCTTTTGAGAGTTGAAAGGGAAATATTTGTGTGTGTGAAATCAGCTGTGATGTTTCAGTTCAGAAACCTCTGGGTGGTTTCCTCTGATGCAGTTTTTCAGGAGTGAAAGCGACTTTGCTTTTCCAGGCCCTGGCTTTTAGCTGGACCAAAACATTTCCTACACTTCATCTTAAACTGGGGAGATCCATTTTCTTTGGTTTGTAAACAATCAACTCTAAATTAATTAGATGAGTGCCTCTCAAATGAGAGAGATAATGAGCTTTTTTCCCCATGTGCTGAGCTTCCTTTTACTGAAGGAGCTTGAACTCCCTGTGGGAGAAGTGGGATCACTGTGCTTTGGAAATGAAGGCACATCCTAGGGGTGGGTGATTGTTTTGTTGAGGAGCCTATAAACACCCAGATTAACTTTTCTTTATTTATTTTCTTGGTGTGGAACAGAACTGAGCACAGCTCTTCAGTGGCTGCCTGGAATCTCTTGCACTGCTTTTGCTTACAAATTGTGCCAAATACAACATTTGTGGACTGCTGATAGAATTCTTTGCTTGTGAAACAAGAATAAATTTAGCTGATCATCAGAAATTTCTTTTCTAGTGGGACTGTGGATTTTTGGTGTGAATTTCCTTTCTTCCCCTCTTTTCAGGGCCCAGGAACAATGACATGAGCCAAGCCACCTACAGTGGCTTTGAGCGGGACGTGTTCAGAACAGTTGCTGATTATTTTCTCAGTCTTCCAGAGCCATTGCTTACTTTTGAGTACTATGAGCTCTTTGTTAATATCCTAGGTATGTATGAATTTAGGAACAGTCAGGGAAGCTCTGAGTTCAGATCAGCTGGGGGATAAATGTGTGATTCTTGGCCCCCTGATCTGTGTGGGAGCTGCAATCTGAGGAGGATCATCACTGCTCCTTTCTGTATTAGAGTTAATTAAAATGTACTTCTGCCTCATGATTTCCCATTTAAATTGCTGTTTCAGCTCACATTCTAAATATTCAATAACAAAAACTTCAGAAGATGTGCTTGTTCTGCCTGCTCCTCACTGCTGCAGTGTTACCTGTCTTTGTTCTTGCATGTTGGTTGCAATGGCCTTGTTAAATTGCTTTGAGACTGAACTAAAGTCTTCCTAATTAATATCTTAATTAATATCTTGACTTTGTTGTCTGTCTGCCCAGTTAGCAGCTCTCTGAACTGGTTCATTTTCACACCACTTGCACCTTTAACATCTCTTTCATTTCCTGATAGTTTTGTGTGGCTACATCCAAATTCCTGATCTGGGCAGTGGAAAACGTTCTGTCCAAGAGGAGAAATGTGACCCTCAGCCTTCAAAAACTCCTCACTTGAACTCTTTCAAGTCCACTGAGTGTCTTCTCCTAAGCCTGCTCCTCAAAGAGTCTGATAAGAAGGAGAAAGGAGAAGCTTCCAGGAGGTTTTCCTCAGAGGAGCTGAGAGCCCAAAACCAGCACGGGAAGAAATGGCAGCAGCACAAACTGCCACGTCGGCAAGGGAGTGCTGGGAGCCTGGTAGGAGGGAGCTGCCAGAATCTTGCAGGATCCAGGAATGCCCAAGAGCCACCTGGAGCATTTAGGACAAGGTGTTACTCCTTGGAAAGAATTGGAGCTGCTGCTTCAAGTGTGTGTGACACAGGAGGAGGTGTGAGCACCACTAGGAGGAGTGGAGAGCTGCTGGAGGAGCACAGAGTGGCCTCGGGGGTGGAGCCGGGCTGGGGTAGCTCAGGCCCAGCCCAGGGCCCCAGGAGAGTGCCTGGCCCGTGCCCCTGGGCTGAGGAGCTGTGGCATGGCAGCCACACAGCCCGGGCCCCGCTGGGCAGGAGGAGCTCCAGGAGCTGCAGCGCCATCAACAGAGCCAGTGCTGAGATCCCAGCGCAGCCCCAGCCCCGGGGGCAGCCCAGCCCCTCGGTGGCCTTCAGCACCCAGCAGAGACTCTGCAGGAGCAGCACAGAGCTGTCAGGACGCTCTGTCCCCCCCTCCCCTTGTGTGCTGGCTGGCACAAGTAAGGGCTCTCTGCAGCATGCTGTACTGCCTTGTTGTGTGGCCTCACTAATCCCTGCTTCCCTCACCTCTGCCACTCTGCTAGGATAGGCACAGAGCGTGGATTTGTGGGGTTTCTAAAGGAAATCTGCTGGCTAAGTTGTTTAAGCTGCTGTAGCTCTGCTAACTGTGGGTAGTATCTTTGGAGTATGAGCTGGCTGTGTCAATAACTGGGATTTCTGCTCAGGTGAGTGATGGGGGCAGGGAAGCTGCACACACCTGCCTATTGGAGATGTCTTCTGTTCTGTGAACCAGTATTTTCTGGAAATAATTAGTGTCATTCCTTAATTGTATTGTGGTCCTAACTGCACCGTAATGAAGGAAGTTGAAGATGACCACACAAACAAAGGCCTGTACATTCTCTTCTGTGTTACAGCTGATCTCTCTGAAACATAAAGAATCACACTGAAAAATAAGAAATCTGTGATGCTGAGGTAAAAACGTGCTGGAAGCTGGTTCAAACCCTAATGGCAGCTGTCTCTGTGGTTAATTTGTAGATGTCCTGCAGCCCCACCTGGAGAGAATTGCAGTGGAGGCCCTGCAGATCTGCTGCCTGCTGCTGCCCCCGGCGCGGCGCAGGAAGCTGCAGCTGCTGCTGAGGATGATGGCCAGGATCAGTGGCAACGTTGACATGCCACGGCTGCACGATGCCATGGGCAACAGGTCCCTGGTAAGGGCAGGAAAAGCTCTTGGAAGAATGCAGATGATTGCTCAGCCTGATTTCTCACCCTGCTGCTCTTTAGAATCCCAGACAGGTTTGGGTTGGGAGGGACCTCAAAACCCATCTCATTCCAGTTTAATCCTGGTGTGCATGAGGTTGGCTCTGCAGGTTTTAATCACCTCACTTGGCTCAAGATGGCCAATTGAAGATTTAGGTTTGGATTAGAAGTAGGAAGAAATTCTTTATTCACAGGGTGCCCAGAGCAGCTGTGGCTGCCCCTGGATCCCTGGCAGTGCCCAAGGCCAGGCTGGACAGGAGCACCTGGGACAGTGGGAGGTGTCCCTGCTCCAAACCATTCCAGGAACCTATTCTACAGTCCTGTGAAGGTGTTAATTTTTCTATAGGTTAAGCCTTTTTCTGCTGCTACCTTTTACAACATGTATTTTTAGTTGAAAGTGCTGTTCAATTCCAAAGAAATTCGTTTAATTCAGCTGAGGGAATGATGGCTCTTCCTCCTTGTGTGACCATACTTGGAAGTCGATACTGGGGGTTTGAGCTGCTGTAGAGTGAGAGGAGGGAAATGCATCCCCAGCTTTCTCCACGGCAGCTGTGCTGAACTCTTGCAGCTGCTGCAGACGTTTTCCCGCTGTGTGCTGCGCTGTGCGGAGGAGGAGGACCTGGATGAGCTGCTCTCCACACGCCTGCTGTCCTTCCTGATGGACCATCAGCAGGACATATTCCAAGTGCCAGCTTACCTGCAGCTTGCTGTGCAGGATCACCTCGAGTACATGAAGAAGGCTCAGGTTGGTGCCGTGACAGCAGTTCAGATTCATTTGTTAATTGCTTCTTCTGAAGTTGGCAAAATGCAAATAAACCCAGGACATTTTGAATATATGGATATATTAATTATTGTGTTTTGCAGCTTGTGAGTGGGTGTGGGTGTTTATTAGGCACTTATTCCATCAGTACAAAATCAGTTGAGTGCATGCAGAGCCTTTTTTCTTCCAGTGCAAACAGGAAAAAGAAGAAATTTGTGCCATCTTGCCAACGTATTCCTACTGCAAACAAATCACTCCTCAGGAGTTTGAAGAACAAAAGGTCTCCACCTCACAGGCTGCAGTGGCAGAGCTCCTGGAGAGCATCATCAAGGATAAAAACCTCTCTGTGAAGGACAAAAAGAAAAAGTTGAAACAGGTGAGTTTATTTCATCTGCTTGTGCAGTTCCTTTGTGAGGGAAGGGCTCAGGCAGCAGAGCCTGGGGCACAAGAAGAGCAGAATGTGCTGAGAAATGTTTGTGCTCAAGGGCTGTCGAGTGCTTCATGTGCTCTGCTTGGCATTTTAAAGGTGGTTTTTAATGCTGCATCCTCTGGAGCCAGGCTGGGAGAGCTGGGGGGGCTCCCCTGGAGAGGAGAAGGATCCAGGGAGAGCTCAGAGCCCCTGGCAGGGCCTGGAGGGGCCCGAGGAGAGCTGCAGAGGGACTGGGGACAAGGGACAGGACACAGGGAATGGCTCCCACTGCCACAGGCCAGCCATGGATGGGAGATTGGGAAATTGTTAAATTCAATGGGTGTTTAAAAACAATTTCTGGCTTTAAGAGACCAAACTCTCTGTTGAGAACCCTGAAACATTGTTTTGGTGGCCTTGACTTTGTGTTTTGTAACATTTACAGTGCTCAAGATTATCTTGCACTTCTCTGGCCTACCAACAACTTGCCTAATAGTAAGGCTAAAACACAGCAGTTCTGGCAGGATTTAATCCTGGAGGGTTTTTCTTTGTTTTGGCAAGTCTTTCTGCCCAATGGAATCGTTTTGTACTTGTCCTGGAATCTCCTAAGCAAGTCTTGTGACTCCCATTTGAACAAGCAGCTTTTCAGGACAGCCACACTTGGCTTTGGTGCCCCTCCTGCAGCTCTGACTTCCATGGGTGTTGTGGGAGCTTTCTGGGCCTCCAAAAGTGAGTCTGGTTTGGTTCATCAAAACTTCTGAATCTAAAGAAGAATGGCTAATTATAGTTGATTAAGGCTTGGAGTGAGTGAGGAGTGATTCACAGCAGCAGGGACAGGGAGGAAGGACATGGGGGCCCAAAAATGATCCCAGGACTGGAGGTGCCTCAGCAGTGCCAGCACAGGGATGGGCACTGCCCTGGGCCTGCTGGACACGTTCTGCTTGATGGGAAATGTTGGGAGTTCTTGGGAAAAGCCAAATTCATGGCACTTTCTATAGGGTAAGGTCCCAATTGTGTCAACACCAGAAGTTACAAAGGTGGTTTGAATCCATCACTGGAAAGGTTTGGCTCATGTTCAGATGAATTTACAATTTTTCATCCCTTCCTGAGGCCTTGCATGGGAAACAGGCAAAATGTGCAGGTCCCTGCTCTGATTCCAGGTGTTTTCATTTCCATGGAATCACTGCTAAGCTTTCCTGGGAGACCCCTTCCAAAACAGGCTGAACCTTGGCTCCCTGTTGGGGAAAACAGTTTATCCAAGGATTCCTGGGATTCTGCTGCAGGCACAGAGCGTGCTGTGGCTCAGCTGGAGCTCCTGTGGGCTCTGGGATTTTCTCATCCCTGGTGCCTGTGTGCTGCAGTTCCAGAAGGAATACCCCCAGATCTACGGGAGCAGGTTCCCAACGACGGAGTCGGAGGCGCAGCTCCTGGAGAACAAACCCACCCTCAAGCAGCCCATGCTGAGCCTCAGGAAACCCAAATTCCGCAGCCTCAGGTACTGACTTCACCCCACCTGGGCCATCCCTCCCTGCTGCAAGTCTGAGGGGTTCACCAAAGGAATTGCTGCAGGAGTTTGGTGCTGGCTGCGCTGTGCAAGGAGCAAATGTTTACATGGACACTGTGCTGGAAGGTGCCAAAATTTATTTTTTTTTGGTGCAGATACTTTAGAATAACTTCTAAAAGAATAATATTTATCTGTTTACAAATTATTACAATATATTGGAGTAGGAAAATGTGAAAATACACATAAAGCTGTTGTTAACCAAAAATTTATATATGGTTTTTTATGGGAAACTAATGACCTGCCTCTTGTTATAATCTTTAAATGTCTGTCAGGAATTTGTGCCATTTATTACAGTTTTTATATGTGCGTGTTGTGACTAAGTGCCTTTTCTATTTGCAAAATGTTTGTCCTTAAACAAAGGAGCTTTTATGAGTTCAGGACCAGGAGAGCCAGCTCACCATAAATAAATCATTATCTCACTCCATAAATGCTTCTGTTCATATCATCTGTAAAACCCTCATCAGCTTTTTGATATTTATTTATATTAAAAGACTTGAAGTGTATTTGACATTTTCATGGAAAACTCATTTTGGATCTGTTGGTGTGATTCTCAAACTAGAAGTGGTGGATTATCCATGAAGTGAAAACACAATACACTAATTTTCCCTATTGTTCCCAGAGTTAGGGATTTGCTTATTAATTATGATAAAGGTTTCCCCCACAGGAGTTGAAATTTGCAAAAATATTTTTGGGAAAGTATAATTAATTATTAATCTACTGCATGGCTCTCAGATCACAGACTGGTTTGGGTTGGGAGGGACCTCAGAGCCACCCAGTGCCACCCTGCCCTGGCAGGGACACCTTCCCCTGTCCCAGGTGCTCCAGCCCCAGTGTCCAGCCTGGCCTTGGGCACTGCCAGGGATCCAGGGGCAGCCACAGCTGCTCTGGGCACCTATGCCAGGGCTGCCCCCCCTGCCAGCGAGGAATTCTTGGTACATCTGTGATCCTGAGCCTGTCAGTTCTCTCCCAAAAAACCACCAATTTTCTTCTTTTTTTTTGAAGAAAAAATTTGTAAATGAGAAACCCAAATTAGCCTCATTTTACCCTGAATTAATGATGCCTTCATGTCCTGTGGGTAGCTTTGTGCTTTTGGGGCAGGGGGCAGCTGTTCCTCCCCTGGAACATCTGTGACCAGCCTCCTCCAGCACTCAGCACCTGCCTGGACTTGCTTCCAGGGCTTCCTACCCCATTCCACGTTGCATAAATGCTTTGTTTATGTAGTGTTCCAGTTAAGTAACTTATTAGATGAGAAGCTCACATTTCCCAGGATTTGGCTTTCAAAGGCCTGCCCTCATTAATTCCCAGTTCTTGATCCAGGTTATTTAATGTTCCCTTCTAAGGTGTTGAGAGAACTTAGCCAAAATGGGAATAAATAGAGAAATTATAATTATGGTTCTTCAATACAAAGGGTTAATGCAAGGGCCTTAATCAAGATCTCAGTGCAGTACCCTGTTTTTTTCTGTGAGAAGCCTTAAATGAGCCCTTGTCCAAGTGGAAACGCTGCCTTGAAAGAGGGAGCAAGCAAACAACTCAAGGGAAAGAGCCAACCCTCACGTGCTGGTTGTGGCAGCAAATGGGGCAGGGGCTGTTTAATGTCTCTTCTGTCCTTCACCCCACTTTGGGTCCCTGGAGCTGTTTCCATCTGTGTGGGAGCAGCTCCTGAATGTATGTGGTGACAAACACCTTCATCCTCTGCCTGTGAGGGGACAGCAGGAAATAGGGACCTTGTTCATCTTTGCAATTACTCTTTACAGCACGGTTGTTTTCATAAACATTGGCTCTTACTAGAGGTGATTCCTAATGAGTCTGGAGAGACTGAGGGAGACCTCAAGGGGCTGAGGGACAGCTCCAATCTCTGCTCCCTGTGACAGGGACAGGACCCAGGGAGCAGCTGGAGCTGGGCCAGGGGAGGCTTAGGCTGGATTTTGGGACAGGTTCTTCCCCCAGAGGGTGCTGGCACTGCCCAGATGCCCAGGGAACGGGCGGGAGCAGCTCCTGAATGTATGTGGTGACAAAACACCTTCATCCTCTGCCTGTGAGGGGACAGCAGGAAATAGGGACCTTGTTAATCTTTGCAATTACTCTTTACAGCACTGTTGTTTTCATAAACGTTGTCTCTTACTAGAGGTGATTCCTAATGAGTCTGGAGAGACTGAGGGAGACCTCAAGGGGCTGAGGGACAGCTCCAATCTCTGCTCCCTGTGACAGGGACAGGACCCAGGGAGCAGCTGGAGCTGGGCCAGGGGAGGTTTAGGCTGGATTTTGGGACAGGTTCTTCTCCCAGAGGGTGCTGGCACTGCCCAGATGCCCAGGGAACGGGCACAGCCCCGAGGCTGCCAGAGATGGAACTGTTGTGGTGTCTGTGCAGGGCCAGGGCTGGATCACTGATCCCTGTGGGTCCTTCCAGCTCAGGAGATTCCTTTGGCACTGTTGTTTTCTCCTCCTCGGTGTCCCTGGTGTCTCAGCACTCCTGGGTGAGGCTCTGCAGGAGCTGGGATGTCCCTGCGGAGCCGGGGGCCGCTGCCAGCTCCCGGCACGGCTCCAGCGCTCCGTCTCACTCCTCCCTGGGCTTTTTTTCTTTGTAATCACTTCTGCTTGGGAAGAATTTAGGTCTCAGAAAAACAGTGAAAGCCCCTTTTTGTGTGAACAGCAGGACAAAAGCTGCCAAAGCCCGGGGAGGATTTTGGTGCTGAAAGCCGGCTCTGTTCCCGGGGTGCTCTCATTGGTGGGGGCTGTTTTGGGATGGGGCTGCCCTGGGCAGGGCTCAGCACCCCATAAATACCCAGCACAGCTCTGGCTCCGCGCTTGGCTCGGAGGCTCGGGCCCCTCAGCAGGGAGGATGTACAGCCAGTGAGTATTCCTGAGGCTCCTCTGTGGGAGCACATCCCAGTGGAGCATTGGCTGGGGCTGGGGGACAGCAGGGTTTGGAGGGGAGGAGAGGTGGGGAGGTCTCCATGTCTCCACCTCAATCCCATGCCAAGGTGTGGTCCTGGTCTGGGAAAACAGGCTCACCTCCAGGTTCCAGAATTTGGACTAGAATAATGGGGTTGGAAGGACCTCAAAGCTCATCCAGTGCCTGCCATGGCAGGGACATCTTCCATTGTCCCAGGTGCCCCAAGCCTTGTCCAAGCTGGCCTTGGGCACTGCCAGGGATCCAGGGGCAGCCACAGCTGCTTTGGGCAGAGTTCACCAGCCTGTGCCTGGTGCGTCTTCATGGGCTTTGCAGCAGATAAAATTGGAACCCAACAAACAATTCTTTGCTTAAAAAAAAAGGCAAAAGAGAAAGAAGGGAAAAAAAAAAAAAAAGGCTTTTCCAAGAGCTGGGAGATACAAGCTGGATTTTGCTTTCTGGTGATTTGGGTGTCCTGGTTTGTTGGGCTGTCCCCTCGGTGTCCCTGTCCCTCCTCATGCTCAGGACAGTTCTCAGCAGCTGTTTGGAGCCTCAGAGCCTTTCCCCATGGAAAGCTGCTCCTTCTTCCCCCCTCAAGTTCTTTGCAAGTCACGGATCATTCCGTGCAGAAAGATCCATCCTCCCTGGGAGGGGCTCCCAGCTGTGCCCTGCTCCGGGCTCACCCAGCTGTGCCCTTTCAGGGTGGAGCATCCTGCTGGAGGCTACAAGAAGCTCTTTGAGACAGTGGAGGAGCTGTCCTCTCCAGTGACTGCCCACGTCACAGGTTGGTCTGGGGCCTCACCTCCTCCTTCTCTCCTTTGCTCCCGCAGCTCAGGGGCTTCCAGGGCTCCAAGGCTTTACCAGGCTGGATGTGAAGGAGCTCACAGGGCTGGTGGTTTGGGGTGGAGAAAGATCAGATTGGGTGGGGGGCTCTTTAGACAATACTGCATGTCTTGGTCCACAGCAGGTGTGAAGAAATCAGAGCTTGAAGAGCTCATATGTGTTTAAACACTAATTAGAAAATGAAGTTTTGATTTTCTCGCTGTCACAATAAAAATTCCTTGGTCTGATTTGCCGTGCCCATCCCAATGGATCTCCTACAGGCAGGATTCCCACCTGGCTGCGAGGAAGCCTCCTGAGATGTGGTCCTGGCTTGTTTGAGGTGGGCTCGGAGCCCTTCTACCACCTCTTTGATGGCCAGGCACTGCTCCACAAGTTCGACTTCAAGGAGGGGCACGTCACCTACCACCGAAGGTACGTGCCAGTTCTCCAAGCAAAAGGACTGAATAAGGAAGCATTTGCTGTCTGAAATGCTGGGAGCAGGCTGTGCCTGTGGGACATCCTGGTTATTTTGAGTCCATCTGGTTATTGGAAGAGCTCTAGCAGTGATATCGTTAAACCCAGCTCCAGATGCTACGTGAGGCTGTGGAGAGCTCCCAGAGCTCTCAGGAGGTTCATCAAAGGAATATTTGTATTTACTGCACAGCCTGGTGTCACTGCAGCAGTTTCCCCTCCTGGCCCCCAGGTTTGTCCGGACTGACGCCTACGTGCGAGCCATGACGGAGAAGAGGATCGTGATCACGGAGTTTGGCACCTATGCCTACCCAGACCCCTGCAAGAACATCTTCTCCAGGTACCTCGGGGGTGCAGACATTGCTGGGACATCCTATGGAGTTTCTGCTTCCCAGGAGCCCCTGACTGCCTGTCGGTTTTCTCTGCTCAGGTTTTTCTCCTACTTCAAAGGTGTGGAGGTGACAGATAACGCCCTGGTGAATGTCTACCCTGTGGGTGAGGATTACTATGCCTGTACTGAGACCAACTTCATCACCAGGATTAACCCAGACACCCTGGAGACCATCAAGCAGGTGGGTCTTTGTCCTGGGAGGACAGAGGTGTGGAGAAGGAAAACTAAAATGAAAATCATGGAGTCACAGAATGGGTTGGGTTGGGATCTTAAAGCCCACCCAGTGCCACCCCTGCCATGGCAGGGACACCTCCCACTGTCCCAGGCTGCTCCAAGCCTCATCCAGCCTGGCCTTGGGCACTGCCAGGGATGCAGGGGCAGCCACAGCTGCTCTGGGCACCCTGTGCCAGGATCTCACAGATATTCTTCACAGATATTCTTCCCAATATCCCATCTAACTCTGCCCTCCTGTCCCTCCATCCCAGTTCCTCTCCAGCTCTCCTGGAGCCCCTTCAGGCACTGGAAGGGTCCCCCCTGAATATTCTCCCCTCCAGGCTGAACACCCCCAGCTCTCCCATGGCAGAGGGGCTCCAGCCCCAGGAGCATCTTCAGGTTAGGGTTGGAGTTTGCAAATCAGAGCTCAGTTGCAGACTTTGAGAGGAACTTCCCACATGCACAGCAAGGATGTGTTGACTCACAACACCTTGCAGAGCCTGTGCCTTCCCACCTCCTGCCAGGGAAGCTCCTGATCTGTCCCTGCTGTTCTCCAGGTGGATCTCTGTAAATATGTGTCTGTCAACGGGGCAACAGCTCATCCCCACATTGAGAACGACGGCACCGTTTACAACATCGGGAATTGCTTTGGGAAGAACTTTGCCCTGGCCTACAACATCATCCGGATTCCTCCCCTGCAGGCAGGTCAGTCAGTCCCACCTCGGAGCCAGCTGGGAAACTTTTCCCTTAGGAATCATTTCTTTATCCTTGAAATGAACTTTGTTATCGAGTTAGGCTTTTTCTAAGCTCCTTTCATTTTTTAATGTTGTATTTAAAGTCACTTCCAGGTGGCTTCTAAATGATGAATTTTGTGCTAAAGGCAGAAATTTGCTGGGTAGATGCTGTAAGTACAGACCTGCATAACCTCTCACCTGTCCCATTGCAGACAAGGAAGACCCCATGAACAAGTCGGAGGTGGTGGTGCAGTTCCCCTGCAGTGACAGGTTTAAGCCCTCCTATGTCCACAGGTAACATTCCATGGGGTCAGCAGGTCAGTTGGAACCAGGGATGGGTTTTCACATGTAATCAACGAAATTAGGTGATTAACCAAAATCTGGGTCATTTTGAGTGATGATCCATGTGTTTAAGATAAGGAGCTCCATGGTTTTTGTCCAAACTGACCCCAGTGAGCCTGATGTGCTCCCCTGCCTTTCCCAACAGCTTTGGGCTGACCCCAAACTACATCGTGTTTGTGGAGACACCAGTGAAAATCAACCTCCTCAAGTTCCTCTCCTCCTGGAGCCTTTGGGGAGCCAACTACATGGACTGCTTTGAGTCCAACGAGACCATGGGGGTAAGCACGGGGTCATCCCAAACTGGGCTGGACTGGGCAGCCACACCTGGCTTGGGAGGTCCATTGGCTTCACCTTCATTTCCCTGAGCCCAAGCCCAGCTGCTGTGTGGTTTCCAGGTGTGGCTTCACGTGGCAGAGAAGAAGAAAGGCAGGCTCCTCAACCTCAAGTACCGCACCTCGGCCTTCAACCTCTTCCACCACATCAACACCTACGAGGACAACGGGTTCCTGATCGTGGACCTGTGCACCTGGAAGGGGTGAGGCCAAGGGTCCCCGAGCATCACAACTGCCCCTTGCACCACACACGCCCTCCCTGCCCTGGCACATCCCTGCTGGGGCTTCTGGCACTTCCACCAACCCATTTAACACGTGGTGACATGTAGACTATACAGCACTGAGCTCTCCAGAGGTGCAGGGAGCCTGCTTGGCACTCATAATCCAGGAAAAAAATATTGTAATCTTTTATTTACTTTTATCTTTAAGAAATGTTAGTGATTGGTGAAGGGTTGATGCTATTCTGGCTCCTGAGGCTGTAATGAGCAGTGTGTGTGTGAGGCTTGAATGCTGCTCTTCACGTAAACACAGAGATGTGGCACTGAAATGATGAAGTTCAACCCTGTGCTGGCTGCATACCCAGGACACCCTGAGCTGAGCTGATCCTGGCATAGAATCAGAGATTTCCAGACTGCTTTGGGTTGGAAGGGACCATAAAATTCATCTTGTTCCACCGCCTACCATGAGCAAGGTTGCTCCAAACCCCTTCCTGTGCCTGTGCTGAACACCAGCAGGGTTTTCCTGACAGGGGCTGCACTCACAGCTTAGCACTGCAGAGGAGCTGGGCTGGAGCTTGTGTCACTCTGTTCTGCCCCATCCCTGGCAGTGTCCAAGACCAGGTTGGACAGGACTTGGAGCACCCTGGGACAGTGGAAGGTGACCCTGCCCATGCCAGGGGCTGAGACAAGACAAACATTAAGGCCCCTCCCAACCCAAACCATTCTTCACTTGTATGACTTTTAGGCAAAAACCACCTACACTTCCCCCACACTTGCAAAGCCCAGCCGTGTTCCTGTCTGTGGTGCTGTTTGGTGCAGGTTTGAGTTTGTCTACAATTACCTGTACCTGGCCAACCTTCGGGCCAACTGGGACGAGGTGAAGCGGCAGGCGGAGAAGGCGCCGCAGCCCGAGGCGCGCAGATACGTCCTGCCCCTGAGCATCGACAAGGTACTGCAGTCTGCTCCCCTCTGACTTCACATTCAGCCTTTTCATTTAGAGGGCAAACTGGAAGTATGGGCTTTCAGAGAAACTCTGTATTTTCTTCAGCTGATCAATGTTTTTCTAGTTTATTTATATGGCTGCCCAGAGAGGTTGTGGCTGCTAGCACTGCAGAGGAGCTGGGCTGGAGCTTCTGTCACTCTGTTCTGCCCCATCCCTGGCAGTGTCCAAGACCAGGTTGGACAGGACTTGGAGCACCCTGGGACAGTGGAAGGTGACCCTGCCCATGCCAGGGGCTGAGACAAGACAAACATTAAGGCCCCTCCCAACCCAAACCATTCTTCACTTGTATGACTTTTAGGCAAAAACCACCTACACTTCCCCCACACTTGCAAAGCCCAGCCGTGTTCCTGTCTGTGGTGCTGTTTGGTGCAGGTTTGAGTTTGTCTACAATTACCTGTACCTGGCCAACCTTCGGGCCAACTGGGACGAGGTGAAGCGGCAGGCGGAGAAGGCGCCGCAGCCCGAGGCGCGCAGATACGTCCTGCCCCTGAGCATCGACAAGGTACTGCAGTCTGCTCCCCTCTGACTTCACATTCAGCCTTTTCATTTAGATAGGGTTAGGGTTAGAGGGCAAACTGGAAGTATTCTCTCAGAGAAACTCTGTATTTTCTTCAGCGGATCAATGTTTTTCTAGTTTATTTATATGGCTGCCCAGAGAGGTTGTGGCTGCCTTATCCCTGGAAGTGTCCAAGGTTGGGCTGGATGGAGCTCTGAGTAAGTGGTCTTTCCTCCCTGCCCGTGGTGAGGAAAATGAGATGAGCTTTAAGATCCCTTCCAACCCAAACTCGATCAATGTTTTTCTAGTTTATTTATATGGCTGCCCAGAGAGGTTGTGGCTGCCCCATCCCATCCCCTGGAAATGTCCGAGGTTGGGCTGGATGGAGCTCTGAATTACTGGTCTAGTGGAAGGCATCCCTACCCATGGCAAAGAAAATGAGATGAGCTTTAAGATCCCTTCCAACCCAAACTCTTTGATGACTCCATGTGTTACCGTTCATGGCAGAGCCTGAGGGGCAGCAGTCAACACTGGATCTGCTCATAGCACAGAAGGGAGCAGCCACAGCCCAGGCATGTGTGGTTACATCCTCCAGGCCATGGTGTGAGGTCCCTGGAGCTGCCAGCCTGGCACAGACAGAGCTCTCTGGCTGGCAGCTGCTGGGTTCCTTTTGATGACCCCACTCGTGGGCCGAGGGCTGCAGGGGACCGGTCAGCAGAGCCTCTCACGGAGCTCACTGGGCTGTGGATCAAGTGAGGAGTGCAAGCCCACGTGGCAGTGCTTAATGAAACCTCTGAATGTCTTCAGCAGTGAGGGAAGTTGTGTTTAGGCTGAGGAACAGGACAGTCCTTGCAGCACTGCCAAGCACACGGCAGCAGTCGCCTCCTGCTGCTCCTGAGGCTCTGCCACACGTTGCTGCCTTCCCTGTTCAGTGCTGTTTGCTACAGTTCTGTGCAAATAAACCAAAACTGTTCTCCAGCCTCTTGGGTATTGATTTCTCTTTGTCACAGGCTGACACAGGGAAGAACCTGGTCACGCTGCCCTACACGACAGCCACAGCGACGCTGCGCAGTGACGAGACCATCTGGCTGGAGCCAGAGGTGATTTTCTCAGGGCCACGTCACGGTACGATGACACCCCAGCTCCCCCAGGTCACACAGGCCACCTGCCACCTGCACACCGTGTCCCACTAATCCTCAGCATTTATACATATTTATTTTTCCTTGCAGCCTTTGAATTCCCTCAGATCAACTACAGGAAGTACGGTGGGAAGCCGTACACGTACACCTACGGGCTGGGGCTGAACCACTTTGTCCCAGACAGGGTAACGATCAGCCAGTGGGGGATGGCTTCAGTTTGGGGACACCAAGGAGTATTTCTGAGCTCTGTGTTGTGTGTTGTCCCCACCTTTAGCTGTGCAAGCTGAACGTGAAAACCAAGGAGACCTGGGTGTGGCAGGAGCCGGATGCGTACCCATCAGAGCCGATCTTCGTTTCCCACCCAGATGCACTGGAGGAAGATGATGGTAATGATGCTGGGGGGTGGTGGAATTGGGATTGGGATTGGGATGGGGACTGGGAAGGGCTGTGCCAGGCTGGCTGCAGGGCTGAGATGGGACAGGTGCTAACACTGGTGGGAAATTTCTGAGGAAACACAGGAAAACTAAAATTAGAATAATAAAATTTTTGAGTTAGGAGGGACCTTAAAACTCATCCCATTCCACCTGCTGCCCTGGGCATGGACACCTTTCACTGTCCCAGGTTGCTCCAAGCCTTGAACTTGGCCTTGGACCCTTGCAGGGCTGGGGCAGCCACAGCTTCCCTGGGCAGCCTGTGCTGTGTCCCTGCCCGTGTCCCTCAGCATCGATGACACTCCTGGGATCTCTGGTGCCCCGAGTGCCAGGCTGCTCTCGCCTTGCCCAGCCGGGGTCAGACACAGCCCACACCCACCTGGGCCACACCCATCGTGTTCTCACCTTGCAGGGGTGGTGCTGAGCATCGTGATCAGCCCGGGGGCAGGGCCCAAGCCTGCCTTCCTCCTCATCCTCAACGCCAAAGACATGAGCGAGGTGGCCAGGGCCGAGGTGGAGGTGAACATTCCCGTGACATTCCATGGCCTTTTCAAGAGAGCGTGAGCACAGACAGCAACACCTGCCCGGGCTTCCTCCAGCTCCCAAAAGGTGCAGTCTCCGTTTACAGGTGACCCAAACTCCTTCCACAGCCCTCTGCATTTGTGGGGCTGCTTAACTCAGATCAAGCAGTTCAGTCTTGTCAATGATTCTTCAAAATGGTTAATCAGGTATTTTTTAAATGTGCCCTTTGGTATTATTTCCAGCTAAACCACCAGATGGGGGTGGTGGAGAGGTTCTGTTTATGCAAAATTAAACTTTGTAGCTGCAGCAGAGTGAAGAGGCTGAAAGAGCAGAGTTACCTCAGCACTTTCACACATGGTAACATTGTGTACAACTGGCTGTGGTCTGTTACATGGTTGAGAATTATTAGCTGTACTGAAGGATTCTGGATGAAACATCATCCTGGTCATTGCTGGGGTATGCTCAGGTATCCCAGTGGAGTTTTCCACAGCTGCTTTGGGAATCCCAAGAGTATGGCAGGCAGAGTTTTGTTCTTCACCCAGGCTGCAAACTGCACACCTTCCCTTGTGTGTTTTCTCCTTTCCCTTTCTTTTGTGCAAGTGCAGTTCCTTGATTTCTGGATTTCATGTTAAAACATGGACATGAAAAAATCAAGCAATTGTTACCCCTTGGGCTGACTTTGCTTCTTTAGAGTGCTACAGATGTTCAGCCTAATCCTTCCTTCTCCCAAAGTAAACTTTCAGCTGATGTTAAAAGAGGCTATTGTTGATTTATTGTTGATTTGGTTTTTTTATTAATATTAAAAGCAGATTTACAGTCTGGGATTCTTGTTTGTCTTCAACTGTTCAACACTTTTATTCATGGTATCAAAGAATTAGAAAATCTTTATACTCAAAGTTCTGGTAGAGGATTCTGGTTTGAGGGGTCTGCAGTTACATCCTGATTATGGGATGGGAACGGGGAGACACAGCCTGGTACTTCTTCTGTTCCATGATCTCCAAGCACTGGGCAATCACCTAATTAAAAACAAAAAACAATAGAAGCAATGAGCCTCAAACAAAAAAACCCCCAACCAGCACAACTCATTAGTTCTGTGCTTATTTATTTGTTCCTTCGGTTTGTGAAACACTGAACATGGTAACATGAACAGTGAAACTCTCTCTTATTTTCATGTGTAGCTCATAAAGTGGGAATTTCAGGGCTCTAGGACTAAAAACACTTCTTGGTGCTCTCCCGTTATCAAAGTTCCCATAAACTTCATGAAAATATTTACCATCCACACAGTTCCATAAATATTACCATATTTAGAAGGGTTGTGTTGTGATTTAACCCCAGCTAAAACCAGGACAGATTGAGATCTTCAAGTAAACAAACTTCAGAAGTGCAGGGAAGATTTTTATTGCTAACAAACAATCTAACAAGGAAAAATAAAAGAACAAAGGCAACAGCTTTCAGAAAGAACCTAAAGGAGGGAGGGATGTCTGCCAATTTCAAATCAATAAAAAGGCAGGGGAGCACCCCAAATGTACACAGCAAATTTAAAGGAAGAGAAAATTGCAAAAAGTGACATCCCAGGAGAAAAGAATGTTTTGGAAACAAAAGGAATTCTGAGGAGCCCAAACTCCAAAGAATGATGATATAGGTAATTATATGGAAAAAAGGGATTCAGATGCAGATTCAAATTATGGTAAAGTCAAAGGAGAGGCTCAGTGAGGAAAATCTGTGGTCAAGTAACCAGAATTCAAGAGAAAATTTTTGGATAAACTAATGAGGAAGAGACAGGATGAGAATTACAGAGAGAAATTCCATGGAGTGAGAAGTGGGAGCCCCAGGTCTGGAACCAGCACATTGCCAACCCTGGGTGAGTCATGTCCACCCACTGTGAGACTGGAGAATAAAAGGGCCTAAAAGGAAAACCCACCTTCCTGGTGTCTTGAGGAAGAATGATCCCATCATCCCAGAGCCTGGCAGAGGAGTAGAAGGCACTGCTTTCTTCCTCCAGCCTGGAGAGGGCAGAGAATTGAACTGGCTTAAAAGCACAACAAAAACAGCAGAGCAGTGAGAAGAAATTACAACTGAAACAGGCAAATCCATCCATCTGAGGAGAATGGGCAGCACTGCTGTTAAAATTATTCAGAAACCAGCAAATAACAGAGTGACCATTCTGCAGTAACAGGAAGACTCTAACAGAAAGACATTAAATTACAGTGAAATTTAAAATATTTTTTTAGTAGATCCATGTTTGTTTCATTAGTCAGGATGTGTTGCTCTGTAAGATGAACAAAAGTAGGTAATTTAACAATGAAATCCCTGTCAGGTTTATATTGAATGTCCTTACTTTGCCTTCAGCTGTTTGAGCTCCAGCTCCTCTCCTGTCCAGTCCCCAGCTGGTGGAACTGTGGGGAAATGTTGAGAATCCACAAGACCAACTCTTGCATTGGGCCACAGGAACAGAAAGTTTGGACTGAATGATCTCCCACACTGCAAGGGAAAAACCAAACAACAGAACAAACCCACAGAGATGAATCACAAAAAGGTGTCTGTGGGATGAAAGAACCAAGGGCAAGGCAGGATGGAACACAAGTGGATTTGTTTGAGGACAGACACCCTGTGCTGGAACCACCACCTCCCCACTGCCCTCAATATTTCTATTTTAATATTTCATTTTGAATTCCAAGCACTTCCACGTTCAATTCTTCCATGTTTGCTTCTCAGCAATCACATTCATTGTTGCGTTTCTTACTTAAATATTAGTTCAGAGCTCAGGCTCCCCAGCTGTGTTTTAGAAGTGCAGTGACACTTGAGCAGTGTGACAGGTGTGTCCCCAAGCCCTGGACTGGTGCCACCCATACCATGACGTAGCTGTCACTCCCAAAACAGCCTCCAATGACAATGGTTATTTTGGGAACTGCAGCACAGGCAACTGCAGCCATCATGGAGGCATGGGCCTTCAGCCTGTTGGAATGAGCCTCTGCCTGGAATAAAAATAGATATTTTAGATCCTTTAAGACTTTATTATAGATTCTCCCCACTCCCAACAAACTTGTATTTCTAATTTATATATTTATTTATTTATTTACAGTTCTGCAGAAACAGATCTGGGACCTAATGGAGGTTTTACTTTCCTTAGCCCAGGACAGATCCTACTGCCTTCACTTTCAAAAGAGAAATAGCCAATTTTCTGAAGTGTAGAGTTAGCAGAGGAATCAATAAGTTGTATTTCAATGTCAAAAGCACTGCAAATGCCAAACTTTCCAGCTTTGCCAACTGAACTGTATAATTTTATCCAGCCCTGCTTAAAATTCAAGTGAGAAAGTTCTTGAATCTTTCTATTAGCAAAATCATTATGAAGATTCATCAAGAGTGCTTAAAAAACTATTTTTCCTAACAGTTAATAATTCTGAAAATCTAACTTTAGGCCCAACAAGAGCTAAGGGTTGTTTGAAATGCATCAAAGCAAACATGCCATACCTGTGAGATGCTTGCAGGCCCTGCTGGCTGTGGAGCAGTGTTTTGGAGGAAGAGGATGGGAATTCCCCTCTGGCCACAGAGCTGGACAAAGTGGCTGCCCTTGAGAGCAGCATTGTGAGCCAGCTCCCCATTGCTGGCCACGATGCCCACCAAGTGCCTACAGAACAAACATGGACAGTTGGACTCCATGATCTGAGAGGTCCTTTCCAACCTCAGCAATTCCATGATTCTCCCTTTTGAACCCTGGGAATGACTGGAGTGGTGTGGAACCTGCTGAGGCCACAAAAGCTGTTGAGAAATGCACATCCATCCATTTGGATGGGGAATGCTCCCAGCCATACCCTTCCACATGGCCAAATCCTGTCACTAATTCTGTTCCATAAGTGGCCTTGAATTCCTGGAATCTGCTTCCATCCACCAGGCGGCTCAGGATCTGCAAAGAAATACACAGACTTGACTTTTCTAGAGAAATTGAGGTGAAAATAGGAGAGTTCTGCTAAAAGAAATGCTCTGTTCAAACAGCAGCAGACCTGAGTTACACAAGATGAGCACAGAGGGTCTTTGGGTGACTTGCTAAATGCTCAATATGCACAAACCACCCAATCTGTGTTTAGTTTAATTACCAACTGTGTATTTTAAGACAAAGGTCAACTCCAAAATCATTTTAGTTTTACAAAGCACAATTGTTCCTGGGCATAAAAATGTAAAAAAGCAAAAAGCAAACCCCAGTGTGTGCAGTTTTAGATTTTATGCAAAAGAAATGCTTGGTTCATATGGCTCATGTTCTCTTCCAACACAGTTAAAAGCTGCCTTCAAAGCTTTCTACAGTCAATTCCCTCAAGTGCAGGGACTCACCACTGCAAAGATACTGCATTCACATCCATGGAGACAAAATCTCATGTAGAACACAATGGAAACAGTGTGCGTAGCTCTGCATGTCTCTGCTTAAGCTTTAGTGTCTCTCCCTACCTCAAACAAGTTTGACTTGAGCTGTGTTGTTTTATCAGTCAGTAATTTCACCATTTCTTTTGCATTATTTGAATGCTTGCGGGAAGAAACAAAAAGGCAGGGGAAGGGAAACACAGACATTAAAGGGGTGTATGTTCTCAAGGCAGCCAAGAAAGCATCCCAACAGTGCATGGAAACAGCTGGGCAGCATTGGCACAATCTGGGATTATTTTATCTCCAGCAGGACTTCAGGTATTTACATATTTTATAATAAACATTTATATATTTTCTGTAATAAATATAAATTATTTATGATAAAGATTTTAATAATAAATTTAAATATTTTCTATAATTCCACAGAACTGTTGCCATCCTGCTCTGTTTCAGGATGAAACAGATGAGGTAGTAAATCAGAATAACATCTGGAGCTGTGGGATAGGGCAGAGTGAAGGATGCAGGAATGAAATCCCTGCTCCCTTACCAGTTTGACAGGAAGAGTGCAGCTGTAAGCCAGTGGTGCCAGGCCCAGGAGCTCCTCAGGGCTGTATAGGGGACTGTCAGGCTCCCTGTCCTGCTCTGGCACTGGCTCATAGTTTAAGGTGGAGACAACATTACGAATGCACTCATAGGCCTCCTCTTCTGAGGGTGCAAAATGGTCACTGCAGCCACTGACTCTAGGACAGACAGACGTTAATTAGCATTGAATTAATGAGTTCTGAATCCTGAGAGAAAACCCAAACTCTAGTGAAAAAGCTGACACTCTCCAAATGCCCTGTGGAAATACTGTGTGATTTGTTTCTGTGAATGAGCTGAAAGCAACCACTCAGTAGAATTTCCATGCAGTCCAATCCCAAATGAAACTCACAGCAAGGGGTTGTTCTTCCCCATGATTTTGTGTTTATCTGGATTAAACAAACACCTTGGCATCTATTTTTGTGATGCTGTTGTGGCAGACAATATCAAAAAGGGAAAAGAGGAAAGCAAACTTTGGGAATTATTTCAAAATAAGTGGTTGCAGCCAAGATATAAAGATAGGAATGTATTCCATGTAGCAAAATTGGGTTAAATATGAGTATTCTGGAAAACACTTGGAAAAGAGAAGATAGCATCCCTCTTCTGTAGCTGCTCACTGTGAGGCACAGAGGAAATTACTTGCCTGAAGTTGTTCAAGAAGTATGTGGAACAATAGAGATCCAAATCCAACCTGTCCAGTCCCTGCCTCACCCCATCAATAACATCATTTTACTCCCATTTGGCTGATTTAACCCAAATCCCTGACCCTGAGAAGGCAAGCCAGTGTAACCACAGGTTCACTCTTAGCTCTGCTCTGAAATGCCAATGCCACATTCCTTTCAGGCTGAGAGTGCTGAATTCCCTGGCTTTGAGAACACTCCACACAC